TAGTAGCTTCTAGCTACTAGTAGTATTGCCCTTGCTACTACTAGTAAGGCACCTTGCTACTAGCAGCTTCTAGCTACTAGTAGTATTGCCCTTGCGACTACTAGTAAGGCACCTTGCTACTAGTAGCTTCTAGCACTAGTAGTAATGCCCTTGTTGCTACTAGTAAGGCACCTTGCTACTAAGGGACTGACAGCAAGGGCCGTCATCGGAGATCACTGGATTTACGTGCATGCGCATGATATTATGATGATATACGAGAAGACAGATAATCATTGTAGGTACCTAGGCAGGATCGCTAGCATTTATTATATGAGCGACGCTGTTTATTTGTTATGTGGGCCTTGCACATTTCAATTTGGTGAGTGTATTATCGTTTTCCACGGTTTGAACCTTACTTATGTAAAGGTTGTTTTCACAATGCAGCAGACTTTTTGGACATGGAAGCAGACGTGCGACGGAAACTCCTTCTGTGTGGTAAGGTCATGTGTATGGCCTTCTATGGTGGCATCGCTACCCACAGCGCCAGCATTGTTTTTGACTTGTCACCGTTTGGTGGGAGTAGCAGTAGCAGTAGCAGTAGCAGCAGCAGCAGGAGGAGGAGTAGTAGTAGTAGTAGTAGTGGTAGTGGTAGTAGTAGTAGTAGTAGTTGTTGTAGTAATAGTAGTAGTAGTAGTAGTAGCGGTAGTGGTAGTCGTAGTAGTAGTAGCAGCAGCAGTAGTAGTAGTACTAGTAGTACTAATAGTACTAGTAGTACTAGTAGTACTACTAGTAATAGTAGTAGTAGTAGTAGTAGTAGTAGTGGTAGTACTAGTAGTAGTACTAGTAGTACTAGTAGCACTAGTACTAGTAGCATTAGTACTTGTAGCACTAGTAGTACTAGTGGCAGTAGTGGTAGTAGTCGTAGTAGCAGTAGTAGTGGTACTAGTAGTACTAGTAGTAGCAGCAGTAGTGGCAGTAGGAGCAGTAGCAGTGGCAGTGGCAGTCGCAGTGGCGGCAGCAGCAGCAGGAGGAGCAGTACTAGCAGTAGTAGTCGTTGTCGTGGTTGTGTTTGTGGTTGTGGTGGTGGTAGTGGTAGTGGCAGTGGCAGTGGTAGTAGTAGTAGCAGCAGGAGTAGTAGTAGAAGTAGTGGTAGTAGAAGTAGTAGTAGTAGTAGTAGACCAGCCATGTCTTGAGCTTGTTTGGAAGATATGTTTCAGATACAAGTGGGGCACTGGTTTCGTAGCACAGGTTCGTCTACATTTACGTTATCGTTTGGTTATCGTTTAGGTTATCGTTTGACTACAGCTACATTTCGGACAAACCTGTCGCCAAAGTCCGAAGTCAAATATGGCTTTGGGAAAGGCTACACTAAGCAGAAACGAGGTTCCCTGATGGTCTTCACGGTTGACAAGCTGTACTGCAGCTATGCAAACTAAACTTTCCTATAATAAAACATGATGCTATCAATATGTTATCGTGTTTTGATGAGTGTATTATCTTTGTCCAAGTAAAATGCAAATTATGCAATCCCAATGTCGGGTCCTTTACTAAATACCTTTGCGTATATATAAATCAGGTTGCTCATATACACAATGAGAACAATAGAATACGTGAACAATATGTTCAATGAATGTCGATTCATGTCGATTCTATTTCCAGAGGCGCATGATCTACCAGCCAAAATAGGGCTGCTCAATCAATTTTCAGGACAATACGATCCTTTTTAAGACCTTGGTTCCACACTGTCCTTTCGAGACTGCCTGCAATTTTCAGTTCTGAGTCATCAGTTCTTTCCAGAAAATAGACTTTTCGATGCTTTATCTACTGCAAAATGACTCTCCTGACTGCCCTGCAAAGCAACTCTGGAAGTCCATGTGCGCCCGCTTCGCTTGACGTAGGCTGCTCACCAGCAATCCACCGCCATTGGTCCTAAGCGTCCGAGGACTTCAGCTCGATCGTCACACGTTCCGTGTCCGTTCCCGGTTCCCGGTTCCCCCGTTCCGGCGGATTATGAATGTATCAGCAGGCGCTTGAGGTTGATATAGTAGATTCTATTTCATGGTAGATGCTTAAACAACAAAAACACCATGAGGCCATGAGGCCTCAACTGAGTCTGCACTACTCCTGCGTAGGTTGGCAATGTGAATGTATTGCCAGTCCCACAAAGTGTGCCTTCATGCGACTTCTCAACAAATCAATACAACATGACAAAACACACGTGAAACAACTCTCTAAACTTAAACTTCAGTCAACAAACAGCGCCCACATTTGTTTTCAAATAATTCCTTCCCCAGGCCCCAGGATGCAATTTTGTTTCAAACAAATGTCACACATGTAGAGACACCCGTCGTTTGGTTTTCGTGGGCCTAGCCGCGACTGGTGATGGCAACAACCAACACTCTTGGAGGCCACCTTCAGAACTTCAAGGCCCAAACCTGGTGAGCCTGAAAAAAAATAGAACATTGAGGTATAGTGGATGTAGTTTTCCGAACAAACGATGCGTGTCTCAATGGAAGAATTCAACTCTCATTCTCTTGATGTTTTTGACATCCTTTTGAGGGGACAGGTGCAGGAATGGTTAAGTGGGGCATGGTGGGGCAGGTTTTAGGACATCAGTTTGAGGCCGGACAGGTCCAGCAATCAAAGTGGGCAAAAAGGTTTGAATGGTGGTCAGATGTATGGAAGAAACACGAAGAAACCTTGTGGAGACTAAACCAAAACGATAGAAATAAGAACACAAGGTTCTGGGACTATGCGCCACAAGACCGAAAGAACACATGGCAAGTGTCTCTGCAATTGTGCGTGTGTGTGTGTGTGTGTGTGTCTGTGTGTGTGTCCCACCCTGGACAAAGGGTTTTTCCATCACCTTCACTTCACTTCACTCCACAAGCAGGGGCGTGCAGCATCTGT